CGCACAGACGTTCTCTCGTAAAAAATCAAATTCCCTTGTTAAATTCGGCAATAGCTGATGTGGCTTGGTTCCTTTCTGTTTTACGCGGTCCAAATAATAGACTAACTAAAGGGTTTCTCGTGCGTTGCCGTTAGTTAGTCCATTACCTACCTCCTTTGTCCATTGCGACCATTCGCTTCCACCAATAGGATCCCCCCAAATCCTTTTTGTCTTCTTTGTCTATAGCTTTGTCTATCAATTTCAACAATTAGCCAGCTGGTCGTTGAAATGAGTGGTCCTCATAGACTAAGGGAAAAATGATGGACTAACTAAAGAATATCTCGTGGGTTGTAGTTAGCTATTCTACTAATAGCCCATGTTGTCCATTGCAACCACCCGCTTCCACCAATAGGATCACTCCATTTTCTATTTATCTTCTTTGTCCATCGCTTTGTCTATCAATTTCAATAATCAGCCCACTGCTCGCAATTAGCCACGGCTCATGACGCCACGTGTAGTTTTTCTCGGCAGTACAAAACTGCATCCGCGTTACTGCTGCCAAAATGCAGATTCTGCCGTCCCATAATATCGAAGTTTCCGAAGGGTCATAGAATCGATGCAGTATTAAAAGTTTTGCCGTGGTTTATCGCCATCGCCGCTGATAACAATCCTGTCCAAACTTCTCCATAACTTGGCGGCGCGATCCGTAAATTTTCATCGGAAACGGTCATTTATTATCCTCGAGACGAAGTTTTGATCGTGTCGGCCTCAATACACAGACCTCTATACCCGCGGACAACTTTGTGTCGCATTACTGGGATGCAAATCATAACGCAGGATATAAATTCAATACATTTACTAGGAATAGTTAATTTTTATTACTTTAATTTATTATTGAATTTTGAACGTTCAGAAATGTAACAAATTTCGTAACCACGGCCAACGTCCATTCGCATCCAACCCTGGATAGGTTTGATGCGTACTTATTTGGCAACTATACTGTTAAATCGTTGCGCGGTCATTCTGACTTGTGCGCCTTCAATACTAAAGTAGGCAATGTGAGTGGCTTCGGAGCATTAATAGTTGCTGGCAGTGGTTTAGCCACGTTCCTATCAATGGTGAAACTACCAAACCATGTATTTCGGTTTGCGACGTTGCAGACTTCCTGTCATACTTTACTTTTTAAATGGAGAACTACTCAACGTCAATTCTTTAAAACCTCCTTGACGTGTCCTCTCTGTGCAAAGAAATACCTGCGAAAACTGCAAGGAATAATGTTGATTTGCTTTCCTTCAAAAAATTAAGAGGGAACGGAAGTTTTGAAACACGGCAAATGAGATACGGTTTGGGAGTTTCTTCTTCGTTATATTTTTAAAAAAAATAAATCATGATGATGTGAATAATTGACTAATTGAGGTATGAATCAATTTGCCCCGTAAGTGCATATTAATAAGCTGAATTAAATTAATCTACTTTCAGTGAATTTTCTATAAGTTTGAGCTGTGTGCAAAATATTTCTAGTTAAGGATTTTTTTTTCTTAAGTTAAGCATGTATTGTCTTCCAAAATCAAATTCAATAGTTAGGAATATTGTTCCGACCAGGGCCGGATTAAGGGGGTGGCCACATGGGCCGCGGCACACGACGGCAAAATTAGGGGGCGGCAAATTTTGCAATTTTTTTAAATGCAGGTACAAAAAAATCGGATTCAGAAAAAAATTACAAACAAGAAAAGGTGACAAAATCTCTCATTTCCTGAGAGTTCAGCAATTTCTAATTTTGTCGTATTTCGGTGATGCAATAGACTGCGCTCGTTTAATTAGTTAAGTTAAGAGAGGAACCAAACATGTAATTTGGCCTGGAGCGGCGCGGCGCAAAGAGAAATGATGTGGAGGACTTGAGATGAAAGGGAGAAGCCCTCGACGCGGCGGTCGGCATGTAACACATACTAGCGCCTACGAGACTGCATGAATACTTCACGCATTGCGTCAAACACAGTACGGTCAACAGCGGTCGGCACAGCGTGAAACGCGCAGTGCCTACAAGACTACATGAATACTTCACGCATTGCGCCAAACACAGTGTGGTCAGCGGGGCACGGCGGCGGAAGTTAAAATTATTAAACAACATTTATGTTTGTTCCGTCTTAATTTTTTAGTTCATTCCTTATGAATGAAAGGCCTTGTCCCCACAGAGATAGGTTTACGGAACAGAACTTTCGCGCGAAGTTCCGTGAACTTTTGCTAGTAGTGTAGACAGGGCTCACGCAAAAAATGTGTCCAACACGAGTGAACGCGTCTTATGCACCCTTCTCCCTCCGGTACGTTCACTAGATGGTTTTTATTGATGTTTCAAAATGAATGAGAAGAGGGCGGCAAGAAGGTAGATCCGGCCACGGTTCCGACAAATAACGTTTCATTTTGACGGCACGGTCGACGAATAACCACTTCGTAATAATATAATAAAAGCATAAATGAATCAGTGAGAACGAAGACACACCAACTCGATAACTCAAAAATGCAACATTTTCATTGAAGACAGTCAGTTTCTACAAAGGGCATTGAAGTTAGCGCATCTGCTCCATCTTGGACCTTTAAAATGTCCTTTAGTACTCATCTTTTGGAACCCAAAAACTTATTTGTTGGTTATATTCTTCATCTACTGCGCAGTTTTGTGTACGTCTTGATTATTTTCATTGTTCCGAGTTGGTGTGTTTTCGTTCTCACTGATTCAATTATCAGTCGCTCTTTACGGTAGCACGGCAGAATCGGTCACTTTCTTGACGAGCAACTATATCAACACTCCGTATGCGCGGGAAGTAAACCCACTCATTTGAAGGCGTTTTCAACCGTAGAGTAGCTAGGACAACTTTCTCCCACACGTAATCGTGTTCTCCTCATGATTTACCAACAAAACTGAGGAATGACTTTGGTTGAAAGTACCATATCAGTATATTGTTCTCCATAAACTCTCAATTAATGGTAGTTATAACTAATAATAGTGGTTTTTCACCATTGGGCATTTTTACCCGTTTTCACGTTACTAATTCATAGTTTGACGGGAAGACTGCAATGCCGCAAACCGAGATACGTGGCTTAGGACCTTTACCATCAATGGAAATTAAGAAATAAATTTTGTACGCCGCTGCTGAAATCCCTGAAAACACCGGACTAAGAGAAATATCCTTCAGAGTGTAGGAAGACGGGACAAAAATTGCCCGTCTTTGTACCGAGTGTTTGAATTTAGAATTATTTAACTCTGGAGGGAAGCCTTTCGACGGAGCCTCAAGTGTCTCCGAAATTATTTCCTTTGCCAATTTACCTTGCTTTTGTTTTATGATAATAACTATTTACTATTCATTCCACTCAGCATCCAACTCTCGAACTCGTTTAACTCGTTTCTCTCTCTTTCGCCTCATTATTGCGATTTATTGTCGGGACCTAGCTTCGTTGAATGATTAAACGTTTCATCTCCGAAAAGAGGGTAAGAAACCTTGAAGACATTTTTAGCTTCGAGTAAATTTTTCAACTCGACATGACGTCGGTATTCTTACTCTGAGTAATTTTTCAAGAATTTCAGGTTCGTGAGCTAGAGTGATGCGCTAATTTTCTTCGTTTTCCTTCCAACTGACCATTCACGCATGGAGGGTATGGATTCGATCGACATGAATCGATCGATCCTTTTAATCGGTCTTATAATTTTATTTTATTAAAAGGGGGTGCGCCCCCTGCCCGCTTCACGGTCCGATCCCCCGAGGTGCTTCGCGCCTCAGGTTTTACACGTTTCACGTACGACCATATATTATAGAATAAGATTTTAATTATTTTTTTTTTTTTTTTTTTAAGTATTTTTAATTTCCCACGGGCCCACAACATATCCATAAACGCCAAACGGCAACTCCGCGCTGAATCGAAAAATTCTCACGTCTCGCCTTCTGTTTGTCTTTTCGCCGTAGCTGATAACACCCCTCCGACAGCGGCCAAAATTTAAGTAAATCAATGTCAAAATCAAACCTGTTCAATATCTGATGACCCCTAGAATACAGGCATTCTTAAGGAGTTCAAGGCTCGTAGAGAAACGGACTTGATCGGTTTCAAAATCGCCCGATTCGTCGACTTGTGCCCGGGAGAAAAGAGACGCAAAGACTTCGAGAAAGACGGCGCACAGTGGCTCGAATCAATCAGAGAGATCGAACATTAAATTTTTTATTAAAACTGCAAATTTTAATGTTTATTTCATCACATTTCAAAGTTCAAGGGGTGCTTCTTGAAGAAAATTTCATGGGAAAACCAACGAAACCCCTTTTGAGACCTATGAGTTTTGTATTAACGGAGTTATAAGCTTATAAAGTTTTCAAATTTTTTTATCTTTCTTGTTTCTTTATCATACTCACATTTCTTTTTTCGCCCGATGTGAATTTTTCGGATGTCAAACTTAAAACACTACAACCTTTTTGGCTAAAATGTTTCTCTATTTTTCTCTAAAATTTATCATCTTGGTAAAAAAACAGCATCAAAACAATGACCATAATAAATATGTATTCAATAATAATTAAACTATTGATACAATGTATTTTGGAAATTAAATTAACTATTAACATTAAAATAATATGTAAAAGCATGGCTTCTATTATCATAATTTTAATAGTTTATAAAAAATATTGATTTTCTCCCAATGGATTACATTTTGCGATTTGGAACTATAAATTCTAGCCCGGTTTCAAAACAACGCATGTGCCATTATTTTCCCTATGCACATAAGTGTTTTTCTAGAAGAGCCAAAATTTATAGTTCCGAATTGCAAAACGCAGTCCAAATTTTGTCCAACTTCTCCTATTGAATCGATCCCCCGTGCGGCGAGTGATAAGCGGCGGTGAGAGCGAGAGAGAGGAGCGGTTTACGTGCGCATCCGTTGCACTCTATTCTCCGGGTGCAAAGTGCAGTCGGGACGATGGCGGGGGAGACGCGAAAACAATCGAGGATCTGGCCTAGGATCATAATAAATATGACGATAAGCATCGCCCCGAGGACAATATCGATCGGAAATTCGGGGCTGACGGACACGTCAAACTGTTTGACGGACGAGGTGTTTTAGTTTCTCGGGGTCAGCCTTGCCGTGCGGGCCGGATCGTGTAATTTTTGAAAACTTGATGTGCTTGGATCTAAACCGGTTTGAAATATTCCCAGTCGATTTTTAAAGATTTAAAGTATTTGTGTCGTTTTTAAGTAAGTGATTTTCAAGTTGCATGACCGGGAAAAAATTCCATCGTAAGTACCTACTCGAAAAATTGTCTAAAACTATCAGTGAGAAATGTGTTGAATGTGGCAGCGAGAAGCCAAGTCATATTTTATTAAAAGAGAGGAAAAGAAGTTTAAAGTTATCTTGCTTCAAGAAGACTTCATTAAGAACTAAACTTTAAGCAAATGGTCCAAAGACTAATTTATTTTTTTTTTTTTTTTTTTTTTTTTTTTTNTTTTTTTTTTTTTTTTTTTTTTTTTTTTTTTTTTTTTTTTTTTTTTTTTTTTTTTTTTTTTTTTTTTGGCGGGAGAAAGCGAGAAACTATGGGCCTGTTCAAAATTAACATAACTTATTTTTTTTGAAAATTTGATTAAAGTTCTACAATATTTTCTGATACTTTTAGCCATATTTCTTCAAAAGAAACGTTTCAATGTTGTTCAATATAATGTTATTGTATAGGGGAAAATATATATATATATATATGCCGCTTTTATAGCGCTCTTTGGCGCTGTGCGACGCCTAATCGCCACAAAGCTCGGTCTTCCCACAGGTCATCAGGGAGTTGACAATCTCTTATCTCATTTAACACCCCCTGTCGCCAACCTCTCACTGGGCGTCCCCTACGTCTCCTCCCAGGAGGAACCCAATCAAGCATCTTTTTTGGCAGCCTCTCTTCCGTCATCCTATTGACATGACCATACCAAACAAGTTGTTTGGTCATGACGTCGAACACGATGTCATTTTCGACTTCCATTATCTTGTCGGCCTCCTGTGGTGTAGTGGTTGTAGCGCTAGCTCTATGATCGGGAGGTCCCGGGTTCGATTCCCGGCCAGGCGACCCGAGTTTGATGGTCTCAAACAATGGTTGCCTGGGGCTGGTTGTTCGGTAGGGACGGAGGGGGGCCGGGACTAAAAAGCGCGGGATTAGCCCTTGTGGGCTACTTAAAGTGGTAAAAAAAAGTATTAAATAATACAGGGTGATCCAAAAGTC